ATCCAAGAACAAAATGCTCTCTCTTGCTCTCTCCCTCTCCCTCTCCCTCTCCCTCTCCCTCTCACTCCCTCCCTCCCGCCCCCCGCTCCTCGCTGTAGTACCACTTTGCACCCACAGAGGGCTGACTTTAACTGTGTTATAGTTGGCTGCATTCAGCCTCCTTGACAAAACAACATGATAATAGGGAATACTTCTGTTTAATTACTCTTTGAATCTTGAAACACAGGTGTGAATATACTGGCATAAACCAAGAAAAAAAAAAAATTATTAATATTATTATTATTATTATTATTAGTAGTAGTAGTAGTAGTAGTAGTAGTATGTTCACATCTGTATTTCTTATTTATTTTACTGTTATTGTGTTTAAGTTTTCCTTTATTCACCTTTGATATTTAGAGTAGTGCTCTTTGTACTGCAAACCTAATATTCCAGACTGGCATTGTTGTGGTTTCATGATGATGTCATCCCCCACTGTGGCTAGATATGAATGATAAATGTGGTGAGGTCATCTCTCATGGCCAAGAGCAGAGTGATAGCGATAGGAAGCCTCAGTCAGTTAGAAGTCTGATAGACAGACACTAAACTGACTCACACACCACACACACACACACTACACACATATATACACACTGCACTGACTTAAACCATCTCATAGAAACAGTGACCTCCATTTCAGTAACGCAGGACCCAGAGGATACACAGATGCAACCCCTCATACACACAAATGAACAAGCAAAAAATAACCCATAACCTTTCATAACCCATTCAGTCTTGTGAAACTCTACATGGCATAACAGTCATTTATGCATTCTGATGAATGTCTTTTTAAAGGAGCCGATTAGAGTGCAGTAATGAGGTGTGTTAATATTTCAAAGATATGTATAATATATGAACAGAGACATTTATTCATATCAGAATCTCTACTCTGAAAGTCTGAGCTGTATGGCTCTATAAACCACCACAAGAGGAGGTCAATGATCTATCTGTTTGTCTGTCTATCTGTCTATTTTGTCTATTTTTCTATCTATCTGCAGTCATATGCAAAATTCTGAAAACCACCAGTCAAATTACATGTTTTGTTGATTCTGTCAAAAAAAAAAAAACATGTATTCTAATCAGAAGAAACTCAAATATAACTTTTTCTACAAGTTTTAGTGCAATATCTTTTTAATTCTGTTTAATATGTTGGAATAAAATAATTTTAAAACGTCCCAGAACTTTTGCACAGACAATTTACCTTCCCCCCCCCCATATATTAAATTAAACAAATAAACAGCAATTCTGCATTCAGGTGTCAGAAGTAGTAAGGCGCACTATGACTGATTAGAGGATGCCCTATCATTTGACCAGGGGCACCCAAACTTTTGCATACAACTGTGTTTATATGCCTGTCTGTTTGTCTGTCTTTCTGTTTGTTTCTTTCAGGCTATCAATTTATGTAAGTATTTGATGTATAAGAGTAGCTGCAATAACTCTTACCCAACCCAGCTCCAGCTGTTCAATGTTGTTCCCACCTTTTTTCTTATCTGCTCATTTGCTCAGCTGGCACAGACTAAAGAGAGACATGGTGCAGGGGAGGAACAGGATGTAAATGAGGAGACAGGAAGAGAGTTTGGGAGAGAGGGAGCGGGAGAAATGAAAAGCAAAGACTTACTAATGAGAGGATGCTCAATGGAGACAAAAATAGAAGTATGAAAATGTTTAAGTGTGATTTATTCTCACAGGACTCATCTTTTATCTGAGAAAGCATGTGTTTTTCAGGAGAAAGCTTTTCTTGAGCATGTGTGCTGTCAACTGAGGCATCAGAATCCAGTCTGTGCTTAAGGCTGACAGGCGCCCGTCTAAGTGCAGAGTAATCGAGATAACTTAATCTGAAAGCCCACGGGTAAAAGCAATTAGCTGTAGTGAGCAGATGGACTTGATTCGAACAGGTAACGAAGAAAAAGATATGTCAGTCTTCAACAGACACAGCAAATGTGTGTGTGTGAGTGCATGTGTGTACGTGTGTGTACGTGTGTGTGTTTAGATACAGCGTTGAAAAGGCCAGGTGTTTAAATCCGCTCATGCATGTAATTGACAAGATTACAGGTGTGTCTTTTTTCTTTTTCTCTCTCAAAGAGGCGTAAACATGAGCGGGTGTCCCGCAGGGGGAAGCTGCTAAATGTCAGGGGCAGTGAGGGTGGAATTCGCCTCTTTTACTGCACAAGGCTGATAAAAAACAAATAAATAACCCATGAAGAAGCTTGTAAATCATTCTCAGTTTTTCTCCGAAAGAAATGTCATCAAAGGATGTCTGATCCTCTGACAATGGGGATTTTTTTGCTGATGTGTTTTGACATGTACAGTGTGTTTGATGTTCGGCTTCACTGACTGAGTTAGTAGCCCACGCCTCGAGAGGCCAGCAGCAGCATAGCGAAATTGTGGGCTGAAGTGTGGATCTCTCTTTCGCCCCCTCACTGCACAGGAAGAGCGAACAGTGTCTGTGTGAATCAGTGGAGTTGAGCGTTGCTGTGGGCACACTGAAGCCCTGATGAGTGAGAGAGATAGATAGAGAGAGAGAGAGAGAGAGAGAGAGAGAAGGAGAGGGGTGCGAAAACAAAGTGGCCCAGTGGCCCAATGACTCATAAAAGCACCCATTATACATTATATGTTCAAAAGCATCCAGACACCCCTTCTAATAAGTGAATACAGCTTCTTTCAGGTGAATCCGTTTCTAATATAAGTGTTCAGCAGCGCACAATCAGCTTGTATAATCTCCATCTATTGTAAAACCTCATGAGAGTAGAGGCTGTTATTACAGCAAAAGGGGTAACAAACTCCCTACAAATACCCTTTCAGAAAACATCTTGGCGTATAGACTTTATATCTGCATTGCAACGTGTAATACATTTACAATCTAAACACCAAATAAATGTTCTCTTGTTTATTTGATTTCGCAGTCAAATGTTCCCCAGTTCCCCAGCTTTCCCTAAAGGCTAGAACTCTTTTAAACAGTCTTTTTTTTTATTTTTTTATTTATTTATTTTTTTATCTACATTGTATAGCTTCATTCATAGTTCGTAAGGCAAAGCTATAGGAAAAGTTATTGGTCTTATCTATGTATAGTGTATCATTGAGAGCTGTGGTTGATGTCCATCTGTTTTATCTGCGTCATTTGTCGCGTGGGTCAGAGCACCCTCCCCTGCGTTTACTGACGCTGATCACAGCAGGTTAAAGGCGCACCATAACTGATTAGGACCCGATCTAAATTAAATTTTAATTGGACCTACACTAACTCAGATCTCTCTCATTACCGACGCAAGCTGATCCGAGCAAGCTGGGATATTATTGGACTACTCAATTATCGCCACCTGAAAGCGGGTTAACTACAACTGTGTCACATCTGCCTGGAGATAGTTGCTCTTCTACCTGTGGAGATGGAGGAATACAAAGGTATGCATTGATCTTTCTCTCTCTCTCTCTCCCTCCTGAGTTTGTGTGTGTGTGTGTGTGTGTGTGTGTGTGTGTATGTGTGTGTGTGAGAGAGAGAGAGAGAGAGAGAGAGAGAGAGAGAGAGATTTAATAGGATAGCGCTAAGAACTGCAGGAGACATTAATGGATACAGCTTCGTGATTTGTGCTTCCTTGATATATATTCACTGATTCATTAAAGGCCAGAGCGCAGGTTTACTGGCTGGGCGTGAAGTCTCTTTACAGTTCAGAGCACTGCCAGGCCCAATGTCCGTAGGCTGGATCCAGGAGTACTTAAACTGTATTATCAATAATGACGATAATAGTGGAATAAAAAGTGTGTACTTGATTTAAATGTGCATATATGCGGTATGCTGGGCCTATTTAGCCTATCACACATTTTCATTTTGCCGCTATCGGACCAAAAACTTGTATCTCCAAAATGTTGTCTTTATGGAGAAGGAAATGTGCTTATCTTTTAATTAAAGTTAATGTAATAAGATTTGTTTCCAAGCCATTTTGGATCGTTTCTGTTGGTCTGTTCATTATGAAATTTTACCATAATACAACGAGTATAACTGGAGTTTTAAAAAGGAAAAATGACAAAAGTGGGGAGGTTTTTGCGACAAAGTAAACTAATGGCGTTGAATATGTCCAGTTACAGTTTGCCACCGTTCCTCTTTGTGTGTCTGCTTTCTTCCATCTCCACCGCCAAACTGCACCGCTCTTGTCACCAGCGCACCGAAATGGATTTGAGCAACTCCAAGATGGCAGAGGGACTCGCACTAGTTTGTTTTGACAGTTATGGCGAGGGGGCAGGTCGAGAGCATCTTGTCGGTGACCTGGTTTGCATCAGAGCGCGTACCCTGAGCCCGTGCTGCACATAAGCTGATGAATGGGGATGTGACCCCTGCTCGGGGTTGACGAGGGGAGAGAGAGAGAGAGAGAGAGAGAGAGAGAGAGAGAGAGAGAGAGACAGACAGACTGTAATGTTAATTTTTGGTCATTCGAGCCATCAGCCTCGCAGTCACTGGTCTCGTGCTGATGGCTGGCTCGAGCTGTTCTGTAAAAATTGGGCGCAAAGCAAGATGTGTTCATTGCATGGTAAAACGTGTAAGATTTCAGTGTGCTCAGCCTTTAATGCATCATTTTTTGCATATATCTTTACAGAAATGTTTAAAGCAAAGGTGTATTAGAATGAAAATAAAAGCAGTGTGCTGGTTAAGTGGCGCGAGATGCAGCCAAGCTCCTCAGCTGCACGCACAGAGGACACAATGAAAAAAGGGCGGTGGCGCTCTCAGTGTGTTTGAATGCATCGGCGTTTCCAATCGGTGTTTAAGAGCGCGCGAGAAAATGCAAACACTATGACAAACTACGATGCAAAATGGATCGTTTTCGTTTTTAATCCGTCCATTCAAATCAATGAGTTGCGCGATCGATTTGAGGAGGTTTGTCGCTGTTTTTGTTCGGAGGTGCTGAAATGCAGCGCGCAGCGTTTGATGGAGAGGGCGCAGCTCCCCTCCCCCGCCCGAACAGCGCAGCGAGCGAGCGCAAGGGAGGAGAGAGGAAGGGGGAGCAGAGAGAAAGACAGAGAGAAGAGTGAGAAGAGGGAACGATAGGCTGAACCCGCGTGAGGGGAAACAAGAACCAGCCTCGCGGAAAAGAGGGGGGAAAAAGAGGGGTGAGGACAAAGGAGAGAGCATGGAGGGAGCAGGAAAATGTCCGTTTAACGAGGCAGCGGAGAGGAGACTCTGGTCGTCCTGCACATAGCCGAGGTAAAACGGACAGCTCCCCACCTCTTTTGTCTTTTTGTGGCTTTTTGATGCCGTGGCGGGAGCAATCACACAGCAAGCTCGAAAGGCGGAAAACAGTTTTTAGTCCGTCTGCAGATTGTGCCAGCTTGCGATGGCTGTTGTGGGGCGATGCAGAAGCACAAAGGATAACGCACCTCTTTGTTTTTATTTCGTCGTTGTTTTTGTACTCAGTGGCCTTACGGATGCACAAATTCGCTACACAATTCCAGAGGAGCTGGAGACCGGGGCTGTGGTTGGTGACATCGTTCGAGATTTGGGACTCGACCTGCGAAAGCTCTCGGCCCGCCGCATCAGAATAAGCTCGGACAGCGCGAGGCGGTACTTCAGCATCAACCACAAAACCGGTAAGCTCTTGGTCAGTGACCGGATCGACCGCGAGACGCTCTGTGAGTTCAGCGGCGCCTGCCTTCTTAGCCTCGAGGTGGTCGTGGAGAATCCCCTCGAGGTGCACAACGTGGAGGTGGAAATTCTGGACGCGAACGACAACGCGCCTCTTTTCCCCAGAGACGAGTACCAGCTGGAGATCTCCGAGGCGGCTCAGCCTGGCGCGCGGTTCCCTATCGAAGGCGCGCAGGACGCGGACGACGCCTCAAATTCCGTGCGCCATTATCGCCTCTCCCCGAACGAGCACCTTGCACTGGACTCCAACAAGCCGCCCGCCAATGGAAAACACATAGAGCTCATTCTGAAAAAGCCGTTCGATCGCGAGCTGGTGCCATCTCATCAGCTCGTGCTCACAGCTACGGACGGTGGCACTCCCCCGCGCTCAGGCACAGCCAAAATCAATGTGCGTGTTTTGGACACCAACGACAACGTGCCGAAGTTCGACAGCTCTGTGTACAAAGTGAAGCTGCGGGAGAATTCGCCTCTCGGGGCTCTGGTGATCAAACTGAATGCCACAGATCGAGACGAAGGCACAAATGGAGAAGTTTATTACTCCTTCAGTTCATACACGCCGGAAAGGGTTCGACAGATGTTCAGCATGGATACAGACACAGGAGAGATCCGAGTCAAGAGTAACGTGGACTATGAGGAGACCAACAGCTATGAAATGTATATCCAGGCTATGGACCGAGGGCATGGGGCGGTAGCAGTGCACTGCAAAGTAGTGGTGGAGGTGCTAGATGTAAATGATAACCCTCCTGAGATTGTACTCTCCACTCTCTCCAGTCCAGTGAGGGAGGACGCTCGAGCAGACACTGTGGTGGCCCTGATCAGTGTTAATGACCGTGACTCTGGCCAAAACAAGCATGTCACCTTAGACATCATTCCTCCTGACCTGCCTTTTAAGATAAAATCATTCAGGAACCACTACACCATAGTCACCTCAGCCTTCTTGGACAGAGAAACCATATCATACTATAATGTCACAATTACCGCAGTCGATGGAGGAACTCCAGCTCTTTCCTCTTCCATGATTGTACGTGTAGACGTGGCGGACGTGAATGACAACCCACCTCGTTTTGAGCAGACATCCTACACTGTCTATGTCACTGAGAATAATGCCCCAAGTGCTCCTTTGTGTGTTGTTAAGGCCACAGATCCTGACGCCAATGAGAATGCCCGCATTACTTACACTGTTCTAAACGATAACAACCATGGGATTTCAGTGACATCATACGTGTCGATCAAACCCGCCACAGGTGAAGTGTACGCGTTGCGCTCTTTTGACTTCGAGAAACTGCGAGAGTTTCACTTCCAGGTCAAAGCTCAAGACAATGGTGTGCCACCTTTGAGCCGTGTGGCAACAGTCTACGTTTATGTCATGGACTCCAATGACCACGCACCACGCTTTGTCCACCCAGTCGCCAATGTGTCCCACACAACCGAGACTATCCTCCGGAATGCAGAGGCAGGTGTGCTGGTAACACGTGTGCTGGCATGGGATGGGGATGCAGGGCAGAATGCCTGGCTGCTCTATGCACTCGAACACCCTCCCGAGCTTGACCTGTTCAAGGTGCATGAACACACAGGTGAGATCCGCACCACGCGTCGCGTTTTTGAGGACAACTCCACCGTCTTCAGCCTTACAGTGCACGTCAGAGACCATGGCCTGCCGCCACGCTCTGCCTCTGCCACCATTAATGTGGCTGTCATGGAACTCCCACCAAAAGTGGCCCCTGATCCCAAACGCATCATAAGGCCACATGGAACCCTCATCTTCTCCAATGTTACGTTATACCTCATCGTCGCCCTCACTGCCACCACCTTTGTCTTCTTGGTCACTGTTTTCGTCCTGGCCATCGTGCGCTGCCATGCTTACTGCAGCCAACCTGATGCATGCTCTTGCTCACCTTGTTGTGGATCCAAGAAGAAGAAGACGCCCAAAGAAGGTGGAGGAAGTGGGGGAGGAGGTGGAGGTGGTGGGGCCTCAGGTGGAGGTGGAGGAGGAGGAGGAGGAGGGGGAGGAGGAAACCAGCAGCAACAGGCTGTAGCCCTGCGGAGGGACCTTAAAGTAGAGCCTCACTACATTGAAGTTCGAGGAAATGGCTCTCTGACCAAAACGTACTGCTACAAGACCTGCCTAACAGCCACTTCAGGAAGTGACACGTTCATGTTCTACAATACAGGCCGGCCACTAAGTGGGACCTGGGGCTCGGGGGCAGAGCGGTTCTTCACAAGCCAGAGTGGACAGTTTGTGAGAAGGCTTAGTATGCCCGACGCCACGGCCATACAGGTGTGTGTCACACCCACACTCATCTGACAGGCTTTGTCATTGCATCCCTCGTAGCAGAAACAGCTTTGGCGTATATTTTTGTATTAAAGTGGTCAAAACGGGTAGTTACTTAATGCTGCATATAGAAGAAGCAGCTTTCTGTACACTGTAGATTTGGAGTTTTTGGATGAGTGGAAGGTTTTGCTGATGCTGAAGGATTTTCATTTTTTTCCCACCTCATCATTCTGCAACTGTATGTGTGTTTGACCCTGTTTTTCAGAGCTTTTTTCAGCAGAAGCATTATGTCTGTGCTTGTTTCTGATGATTCAGGTTATCAGAGATTCATGCATCTATTCTCTCTGCACTCGTTTACAGCTGCCACAAAAACACTTTTCATCATCTGTCCTCTTTAGTGCAGAATATAGAAAAACAGTCTCTCATCCCCTTCCCCTGCTTACACTCGCTCTCTTTCTGTCTACCTCTCTTCCCTCTCTCTTTCTCTGTGCCTCTCTGTATGCACTGCACTGCAGTCTTCAGTAGCAGTACAGCTGGGTGTGTTATATTTAGAGGTGTGAAGCTCAAGCAACACCCCAGATTCTCTGTTCCCACACTTAACTGTATCTGTAGAGCTGTTCCAGTCTGGTCTGCCTTTAGCAAGAGTGTGTGTGATTGGACATTATCCAAAGAAACCATAAATTCAACTTACTGAATAGTGAGTGTCATGATTGGTCCTTTGGGGATAAGAACAATCTTTTGATTAGAACAGAATTGCACCCCTTATTTTTGTGCACAGTATTGCTTGCAGCAAGTTGGAGTGGATGAATGTAAATATTCTGAGCTGTTCTACAATCATTGGTTTTTCAGTCAATAGGCATTACTGCAGTGGTCCCATCATAGTTCATGGCACTGCGAGTGATGTGGTCCCACTTCCTTTCAGAAGCGTGCAGATCTTGCCTGGAAGTCACACATAGAACATGACACATGAAGCTCCTAGAGCATGAAGTCATGGTGCCATGGATGTGCTTCAGCTCACAGTAACATGAATAGTACACGCCATTACATTTCTCTGCAGTCATGTAAAGGAGAGATCTTCTGCCCAGCTATTAGAACCCAGTAAATAGGTTTTGATATGAAACAAATGTCAGTGTACACTTATCAGACACAGTGGCAAGGCAGACTGTTATGACAAGCTATCAGTAACAACATTTACACACGCACAAGCATATTTAATGTTTGCTGAGCTCTCCTGGTTGAATGTACTTTTATACTTTTATGGTGAGTGATTGAATGAAAGCTTATCTGGCTTATCTGTCTGCATAACAGGCTATGGTAGGAAAGGGGTAGGTTTCAGAAGTAATTATCGCCTGATGCCTGTCTCCCTCATTAAATGCCAGTCATGTTTCTCTCTCTATGTAATTAAGTGCCAGTGGTGTGTGGTTCCACATTGCAACCCGCTGATTGGACGTTTAGGTTTGGAAATGGCAGCGGGGGAGTGATGTGATTGGTTGGCGCAAGGGTATGAGCGCTGTATCCAGGCGAGGTGTGTCCGCACAGCAGAAAGAGGGAGAGAGAGAAAGCAGGGAAGAAAGAATGAGAGAAAGAAAGCAAGGAACTGCTGTCGAGACAAGATCAGACCGAACCCGAGAGCTCGTTATCTCCTTCTCCTCACACCACACACACATACACTTGTGCGCACACACACACACATGCACGCACACACTGCCACCCATGCATATACACGCACTCTCGCTCCTCTGCTTTCAGAGGGAAAACAGGCAAAAGAGAGAGAATTTTAGAAGCTTGAACTCCAACAGCCGAGCCCAAATCCGCAATCAGAGACAAAGTGACCTAAAGGCAGCACTGCTTCTAGGACACAGTGCATACACTGCGGATGGGTGTTGTATCAAGCTGCCGTTGCAGAGGGACCACTGTAGACATACTCAAATGGGCACATCCAACTGTTACATAAAGACTCGCACCTTCTGGCTATGAGATTTGTGTTTTGCAGTTTGTTGGTTTTGAAAGGGAGATTTTTTTTTTACCACTGGTGAAATGGAGAAAGGGTATGAATGTTAAAGTGAAATGCCTTGATAGACTCTTTCTACCCATCTTCTTTACAATTTAAGACCACAATATATATATATATATGTATGTATGTATTTATGTATGTGTACGGGTAGGTACATATGTATGTATTAATTAATTAATTTATTAATTGCTTGCTATGTTCTACACAACCAGCCTTCATATGCAGAAGAGTTAATGCTGTGGTAAAGTCATGAAAGCAGTGAGGTCTGTACAAGTATAGTTATGCTAGATATGAAAATCGTGTTGGGGAAGAGAAGCAGCTTTTGCTTATTACAGCATGCATTGGATTTCTGTGATGAATGGCTGCTGGGAAGTGAGGGAGCAAGGGAGGAGAAGAGCAGGGGCCATGGTCGATTCTCTAGACCTAAGAATATTTATGTAAGTTAGACAGGAAACTGGTATTGGGCTGCTGTGCTTCAGCACAGATGCCAGTCTCATTTTCTTTTTGTTTTTTTTTCTTTTTTTCTTTTGATTAACTTTAATTAACTAAGATTTTGATTAAATTTGATTATTTGTTATCAACTGTATTGTGTTGTAATGACTGATGCATTTATACAGATTTTCAAGTTGTTTTTCTTTGTTTTGTAATATGTTTTTTCTGTGTAATGTTGTTTAGGTTTTTCATGAGATTGAGCAGGTACATAATCAGAGTACCAGCACTTACTGCAGTCGTGTCTCTCTCTCTTTCTTTCTCTCTCTCTCTCTCTCTCTCTCTCTCTCTCTCTCTCTCCCTCTTTCCCTGTGCAGGTGCAAACCCAGGGGGCTAAATCAAATCGATCTGCCCCTCCCTTATCTTTCTTTTCCTTTAATACTCTACCCAGACTATAAACCTTGACTTCAAGAGACTGTGCAAATGTTTTTTAGAGTGGTTTAGTTTGGCAAGAAAAGATGCATGATGATTGTAGTGGTATATTTATGTATGTGTGTGTGTTTATCTGTGCCTAAGAAAAAGAATCACTCTAAGCCATCCTTTGCAGGACGTGTTTTGCTGCCACCATAAAAATGAAGATATGACTACAACAGTTGCCTATGATTAATGGATGTTATTGGATGTTGCCTTTGTGCAATATATTTCAGTACTTAACAACTCTCATCTCTTTCTTTCTTCTTCTTCTTCTTCTTCTTCTTCTTCTTCTATATGTTCTTCATCCTTCTTTGCAGCCCAAGGCTCCAAATGCAGACTGGAGATACTCAGCTTCTCTCAGAGCAGGAATGCAAAGGTAGGACAGTTAAAATGCTTTCTACTTATACACAACACTTACATGAAACTTTCAGACACCTCAGGATTTCAGCAACACTGGCAAACTCTTCATATGGTTCTATTCAAGTAATATGGAATGGTGTGTTGTGGTCACTGGTCCGAGTGCATGCTGTTGTGAATGTTACGTTCATGACATAAAAGTATAGAAATAAAAGCAATAAACCTCCATGAAATTGCAGTGTTACACATGCTTTACTCAACTGTTCACCAGCCTTAAGTGTAACTGCAGCATAAAAAATGACTAAATACAGAAGAAACTGTGCATCAGAACAAGTAATGCCCTCTTTTATTCCTGCTGTGACCAGGCCTATGTCTTCTGTTTTGTAGTTACTGATACCCATTTTGTTAGTCCACATGTCTATCTTATCCACATGTCTATCTTATCCAAGTCTGTCTTATCTAGTCTAGCCCTAAAGCTTTCTAGTAGAGCTAAGCACTATTAGGGCACAATTAAGCATTAAGTTCTACTCCAAACGATTTGCCCATCTATTTATTTATTTATTTTTTTAAAGATCACAATTGTTAGTTACAACCTTAAAAAGAATGGTTCTTCAAGGGTTTTTTTTGTAATGGCATTGATTCTGTATAGAACCTTGACATTCTCAATGCATAAATGGTTGATTGCAACCTTTTATGGTATCATATAAACCATTTATGATAACAGTGGAGCAATAATATTTCCCATTAGCACATGAAAGCTAACAGAAAGTAAATGGGTTCACCCTTATCTGCATCGCTACAAGCAAACTCGCTTCTGTACTAATAACTGTACTGAAAATAGCGATAGTCAGACCAAACACAAATAAAATTTACCTGGTGAAAAAAAACTGATTCATTTGAATGGGAAAAGACACAGGTATGCCAACGAAGGAATTTGCTTCTAATAGCAGTTATTTTTACTTTGCGTCAAGTTTATCTAGGTGAATTATAATCCAGAAAATGATCCCTGCCATTGGAAGCAGAACCCAGTAGTAAACAAGAGAGAGGGACGTGGTTTCTTCTTTCTGAAGAAAAAAATGGAGGAAGTGCTCCTCAGTGCAAAGAATATTGTGTTTCATCAGTTACATATGCAAAAAATAAAAATAAAATAAACAAACAAGTTGGTTAGCTAGTTAGCTATTCACAAAACTATATATATATAATATATATATATATATATATATATATATATATATATATATATCATATGAAAACCACTCAAAATCACCTTATTTTTGCTCCACCTTGCAAAAAAAAAGCCAGTTGACAGTCTGGTGTGACTATAGTGGATGACGAAAGAGTGAATGGAAAAAAAGTAATCACAGACAAATTGATGGATGAAAACAAAGATGTGGTTTGAGGTGAATATTATGAGGATTTGCTGACAAAGGTTAGATTTTGTTCCCTGCAAAAACCATCTACTGTTGTATAGCAGTAAAAAAAATAGAGGTCTATCATATTACCCACAAACCACTGGGCTACATGCTGCAGTGTGGATCGCTCAGGCTGGGCCACTAAACGAGGGTCACCTTAACGAGCGCAGGGTCATTATGATGAGCCAAGTTTATCTTAACGAGCACAGACTAGCATACAGGGAGTCCCTTATTGCTCAGAATCGAGCAGTAATATGATGAGCAGAGTACGGCTGGACAACCAGCTCCACTATGCAGCGACCATTGCTGGGCACTGTCATCGCGGAAACAGAAATAGGTCACGGGCGGCAATAGAAGCCTAGCCTGTGGTCATGTCGCTGTTGCCGCGGCAATGAAGGACACTGGAGATGACAGACTGGATGGTGCTTACACAGCTGCCAGCTCTGGGCACTCAGGGCAATGTGTGTATCTGTGTGTGTGTTGGTGTTGGGTTGTCTGGTCTATCTAGATGTTTAAAAATGCTGCATGTGTTTATAATTATGCATGTGTCTTGAAGTTATGTGGATTTCAAAAATTACATCCACATAACATGAAAAAAAAAATCTTCATTGCCTGTGTGGCTTGTTGTGTTTTGTAAATGTGTACATGTGTGTTTGTGCATGTGTGCATGTGTGTGTATTTAACCTCAGATTCATTATAAGCCATTATAAGTACACTGATTCCTTCTTAATTACAGCAGGGTTTAATGGGAGCTAATGTAACCCAAGCAAATCAATCTAACGCATTAAATGAGTCTCATCACTGCTGTCCTCATTTCATATACTCAGAAAGACATTAGATCTATCATCCTCATTTCCACACTCCACACCAGTTTAATTATATATTTACCATATTCATACTGGATCTGACTTTTTGAGCTGTTAGTCAGATTTGAGAGGATTTGGTCTGTTAGCTCTTTGAGAACGTGAGAGGATTTGTGTGCATGTCTATGATGATTTTGACTGCTCCAATGGGATCTAACTGCTCACCATGTGGCTGTGAGGGAGGGATACAGTTTCACTTCCTGCTCTAAAATGCAGGGGTATGGGCGAAATCAGGATCCCCCATGGGCTGAAACTGAGAGTTTTCGAATACAAATTAAACTCTATAGATCTAAATCTTTCAACTTCTCTTTAAAAGAATTTAAAAAACAATATTTTTGAAAAACATTATTGAAAATAATCCAATAAATGTCAGCAGCCTGTTATTTCCATAAGTTGGAATAGACATTTTCCAATAGAAAGTACACTATAAATGATGATTTTGTAAATGTTTAGCATTTTACTATCTCTATTAATGTTTAAAGAACACAATTCTTGCAAATATCTAAGCTGTGAATACTTTTCTTTACTGTTGGACTGCAGTTTGTACTAAAACATTTATAATGAAAGGCATACAAAAAGTGGTTAGTGTGGCATGGTGGGTAACATTGGTGCTCTCTACACAGCAGACTGGGGTATGAGTCTCAGGCAAGCACACCTAGCCGTGCTTGGGCAAGACCCCTACCTCTGAAACACAATTAAACACTGGATAAAAGCAAATGCATAAATGAAATCCAATTTATTGTGCCACACATCTCTATTTAGTAAAGTGGTGTGAGCATAACTAGACAACCCAAAGGACAATTGACATTATTGTCAACAGATATTCATTTTGTAAATACAGGATTTGTTTTTTAAATAAAAAAAGGAAGATTAAGATTGAGAAATGAATGAAGCAAAGAAAGAGAAAGTAGAAGAGATGCAGTGAAGGTTGAGCATTAGTTGAGGATCATGTATTCAAGTCAGTGCTTCTCATTAATAATGGATAAGCCCATCTCACTGATTCCTACTTTTCAGCTCTTAAAATGGCCTCCACTAGCCTGTACGCATACAGCACATAAAGGAGACGCACAAACACACACTGTAAAGAGCACAAAATGATCTCCCTTTTTGAAAGTTAAACAGCACTCTAAATGTGGGAAGGTAAAATGTGATGAGATGTGTTTATGATGATGACAGAATAATATGAAAGGGAGAAGCAGAGACAGTGCGATGGATGATGGGGGCCGTTGTGTAGCAGCAGCAGTAATTACTTGACCTTGGAACATGTAGATGTATCAGCGAGAGAGAGAGAGAGAGAGAGAGAGAGAGCACCAACTAAAATGGAGGCTCTCCAGTTCCCTTCCCCCTCTTTCCATTCCACAGTTACCTACCTCTGCCTCTCATCCATCTCTTTCCTTTCCTTACTTGCACTTATCACAATTTTTTTTTTCTGTTCGCTACTTCATATTTCATAAGCCTCATCAGTGAGGTTGTTTTTTCTGTCTCGAATCAGCACATTTTTCAAAGATCTTAACATTTTGCCATATGCACAATCTTTGCAAATCAATTCAGCAAAGCATGGAGACGACAGAGAAGTTTTCTTCTATTAATTCTGACAAATATAAAGCTTTTCTAAACAACGGAATTTGTTATCCACAACTACTGCACTTAACATAACAATGATATTATCCACATAATAAAAGTGGTTGCTGAGGGGTTCTTAGCAAAGCAATGGTTAAATATAGACTTCGAATGGGTAAATTGTTCCTCCGGCTGTTGTATATGGTAATATGGTTCTTTGAAGATTTTTTTTTTTTCTTTCCAAAAAATGGTTCTGCATCACCAAAAGCATTCCTCTAGGTCATAAAATCATTTTGTGGCACCATATAGAACCTTTTTTGCCATAAGTGTACAGCCCATAATATATTGCAGAATGTATTTAATGCAAATGTATGTAGATTTTAGTTGTTTCCATCTACATTTTACATATTCAGTACAGACCTCTGAGGTAGTGCGTGATTCGTTAGTCAGCATCGTTACCATATTAAAAACCCCAGGTCTAAGTTGGTTTTCTTTATGAGATAAATAAATTACATTTTCACAAATCGCTGCTATCACGCCATTCGGTACACAAAAACATTCCCTGATAAACTTTATCCTGTGTACATTTCCCCCAGGTGTCACTGGATCTTCTGAATTATGACCTTGTTTAACAGCCACAATAAGAATAATGCTACATAAATGCTACAAGCAAGCTAACACTGCTGAACATTGAATTGGATTGTTGCATGAAACTAAGGCCACTATAAAACTTTGCTTCTGCCACCACAAAGCTTGCTAGTTTGCATGAGGTACTTATTGAGGTTGCTAATCTTGTGATGTAAATTTGGTGCACAGCAGTGTCGTCTTGCACGTAGCATCATCTTTATGTCAGCTACTTCACAACCTCGTAATTCAGAGGATCCAGTGATATTTAGAGGAAACGTGCATGTGACACATCATATTGGCTTTAGAACACTTTTTTGTTCATAGTAGTTCAATAGTACAATAGTTCTGCACAACTACATAGTGATGACACAACTTCAAAGGTCTATTGTGATTATGTGATAGATTAAAAAATGGTGAGAGAGATAAAAACTATTTACGTTTTCTCATTTTGGAAGCCTATGACGCTTGTGTCATGTGAGGTTGAAGTACTGACTCACACATCACAATCATTTTCATTCTCTCTCTCTTGCTCTCTGTCTCTTTCCTGTCTCTCTCTCTCTCTCTCTCCTTCTCTCTCTCTCTCTCTCTCTCTCTCTCTCTCTCTCTCTCTCTCTCTCTCACTGTCTCTCTCTTTGTCTCTCTCATACATATAAAGTTCAAATCTTGGCTGACAGCACATTATGCTCTTTTTGTCTCTCATCTTGCCATCAGTGCTATTTTTTTCTTGATGACTTTTTAAAGAAATGTTATTGGACTCATGCTCTGAAGGACAGCAGAGAAAGATGTATTCAGGCAGACATAGAGATATTAATAAAGCTAGCAGGAGCAACCTATCTTTGGACAGCTCATGCATTATGGATATATCACACTAGAAGATTTAGTCACTGAGTAAATCTTATAAATAAATAACAAATTGACATATCCATGCTATATTCTTAAAAAGGTAGTTATTCAATGTTCTTTAATAAAGGCATTGGTTATATATGGAACTGTAAACACTCATAGAACCACTTGTACACTTAAATGTTTTTCTGTGCTGGGAAACCTCCTATATACGCTTCTTTAAAGAACCTTTGTATAAATGATTCTAAATAGCAGCAGTTTAGCTACTGTTACTATTCATGAACCAATTTTTGGTACTATTTAGAACCCTTTTGCTAAGGTTGGAGAAGTAGTTAGTCAAGGTGCCTACATTTAGAGTGTTATTAATTGCAAATGATATTAATTTTCTTTACATGTCAAAAGTTAGAATTGATTGGATACAGTTTTTATTGTGTAATCAAGCTATCATTAACATGGTTGTTTCCAATCTGCCCAGTTCTGATTAACTACAACATAGTGTAACTTGATAGTGTTGCATGTTAAATGCCTAACTTAACAATTTATAGTGACTCTAAAAATAGTGAGCAACTGTTTATCACTAGGTTGAATGGAATTGTTGCCAAAATTCTGCAAACCTTGTCCAAGCTCTGAGCTCACAGTAATTATTACCAAAGAACACATTTTTGGTGGAGTGTAGATGGGTCAATTAAACAGGGAAACAAACTGACCACATAAATGCCTCAGATTATCATTTAAAATATTTGTATAGCTTCTAATCATGTGTTCCAACATGAATAACAGCTGATTCTTCTGTTTTCTACAACATGCAAATATTTAAATAACTGATGGTCATTTTTACACATGCACCAATGGGCACTGTTGAGATAGCAGAAATACATTAATTTGACTTTTTATAAATGCCTCAGTTTGTTCTGTGATTCATTTTTTTCATAACAATATAGTGTCCCAGTCTCCCCCACCCCACTTTTTAAAGCTGTGCTCTGCTGCAGCCCTTGGCTTCAGGACAAGAAATCTAAACTCATTCAACCTCTGCTACTCCACAAACTGATCTGGCCTTTGCTTATTTCTCCTGAGGAGAGGAACACAGCACAAGAGAAAAGTAGACAGAGGAAGAATGAGAGATTACAGGGGAACAGACAGACATTTTAAGCCCAGAGTTTGAAGAAACAGCATAGCCTTGCAGCCATCTGGGTTGTCTTTGTTAATTTTCCTGTCTGGCTTATTTTTATCCCTTTCTTTTTTTTTCCTGTAAGAGACTGTGAAATGTTTAGGAGTGACCCTGCATGCCTCCAGTCTTTCACAGTGACTGCAGGCTCACAGAGCTAATCTTTCTTTAACACACTTCCCACTGCTCACAGAGACACACCCAGCTGCTTGCTTTCCAGATAACACGAGGGGGAGTTAGAACAGCAGCTACAAGAATAAGAAAGATAAAATAACTTTTTTTATTATTATTATTTTACCTGAGAAAATAAATATGTTATTGTTAAGCACTGTTAACACTGTAGACTTTCTGTGCAAGGTCCTTCAAAAGGGGTCTTTGGAGTGATTCCATAGAAGAACAATATAATGTCCCAGTCTCCCCCCTTTCTTTAAAAACTGTGTTGTGCTTGGTTCAATAAAAATAACCATTCAGTAGATTCAGGTTGTTTAAAAAAAAAACATTTTTAGATGTGAAGCACCTCATGGAACTGGCTTATAACTCACTCACTCACATTTAGCCATCTAAATATTCTCTGCTGGGGGCACCATTATAAGTAAAACTTATTATTTCTCCTTTTTTGCATGTACAAATAATGATTGTTTGAATGATTAAAAACAGGCCTGAATGATTTAATTGATTTTAAATTGATCATTTTCCAATGCAAGTGACCAGTTGCTCATTGCCACACCATAGTCAAATTGACAATAAGTAAAGATATATAACAGTTAAAAAAATACAAAATCTTTATTTTTTTTTTGAAAAAGCAAAAAATAAATAAATATAATAAAATTCAGTAGTGAGAAACAGATATGTGGACACATTACAGTAATGGGATTTGGGTAAAAAAGGACAAATAAATTAATAAAATAGAAAAAAGGATCTGTACCATATAGAGCTCCAATTCATCTACTAAATTATGTGACTGCTGTTTATCTGCCTGATGTTAATGACACTGAACTATTTGTGGACATGGCTTAAGGCAGCTTCATGAGAATGACTCAAGAGCAGTCCTTTCCATTACTGCCACTGTGTGTCCTTGTTTTACATGGTAATTTCTGAGTGAGTGTTTCTTAAAGTTTAAAGAGCCTCTACATGATGTGAAGGTTCTATTTTAATTAAAGGTTTTTCTACAACTGTATATCCAAGAATCTTTTAGAAACCTATAGGTTTAACAGTGCAGCTATTCCCTGATCTTAGACTCATAAAACTTTCACTAATTGTGTCACCGTGTGAAGGTGTATGTGTTGTGACTGAGTGATGGGTTTGTGAATCTGTGTAGATTTTCTCCTCTTGCTGTATGTTTTTCTGTACGTGTGTCTGTGCATATGATGGCTCTTGCAGCAAATCTCTCAGGGTGTTAAAATTTGAGTGCATCAGAGTTTAAGCCCTAATCTAGTAAGCGGTGTGAATACGGATGAGAGAGTACAGCATAATCCATAATCTCTAATCCAGGCCTGTGGATTTCAACATTTGAAAGTGAACTACATCCACCCAAATCAGGCATCCCACGTCTATTAGACCTCACACAGACACACACCCACATACACACACAAATTCACAGTTTCTCCTAGTGGTTTATAGCCTTGGTTTAATTTCAGTAATGCTCTCTACATTCAGACTGCATGCAGTGAACCAGGGTTGAGTAGGCAGGCTTTAGCTACAGTTTGGCACCTATAAACAACCCTTGCATTAACCCTTACCGAATCAAGAATTGGGGCATTATTACTCTCTGGCCCATTAAAAAGCAAATACGACATTGCTGTTAAAAAAAAAAAAAGTAATTTTTGAGCGTATCTATTGGCCCATTCATCATGAAATGTTCACAGTGTAAAGCATAGCTGCAGAAAATCAAATTAAAAAATGAAGATACACGATCCTGTGAGAATAAAGTCATTAGTATAGTGGACATGCTTTCTGGAAACATGTGCCTGGGTGAACACACAGCCATATATGCCTTAGGCTGTAATCATGAGAGCACATACTAACTGTCTGGTTAAACCAGCCTGCTGAATTGATTCAGCACACTGCTGTAAATTCCCCAAGTGGTGTGGAGAGTGGGGCTTGTGGATTTGTGGGAAGGGTGTTGAAGAGCGTGCATTTTGTTTAATATGTCATTGTATCATCCTGCATTCTTGTTTTAATACTGCTAATGTAATGTATTGCATTGGTTGCTTCAATGTCAGTTATTGTCACATAACAAAATCTCATAACCTCATTTTTAATTTGTTTTACACAATCTGAAAATGCCATATTTCAGTTATAATGTGTGAACATTTCATAACAAAAGGATCAGTAGATATGCTACAAAATTATTTGGGATGAAAACTTTTGACATCGATGCATATTAAATACAATACATATTACAAAATAATACATCTTTTTCCTTCTACTTTAAAGTTAACATTAACATGAAGGTACAGGGCTTTAATATGACACAAGGTTATATTAGTTTAATTATGTAGATGCATATATGCAAATGTCTAAATGTCCAACATTCTCTCCTTTGTGTTTGTCTGTGTAGCTCTGTTCATATGGAAGAGTCGTCTGTGATGCAGGGGGCTCAAGGGGTTCTGGTGCAGAATTGGCCCACTGTTTCCAGTGCTGCCGGTAAGAAACAGCCCCACCTGACACACCATTCTGTTAGTCCTACTGAGTCTGTATTTAGTGTGAAACTGACCTGGTGTGACCTGAACTGCAGGAAATGTTTCCACAGTCTGGCCCCGTTACTCCTTCATTATACCCTCAGGATCATCTCTCTCTCTCTCTCTCTCTCTCTCTCCCCTTCTGTGCTTTCTGACTTTTTTCCTCTATCCCCTTAGGATCTTCACTCTATCACTCTGTCTATCACTGTTTCCTCTTTCTCCCTTTCTTCTTCTCACTCTCAGACTCTTTGCTTTCTCTCGCTTCATTTCACCTACAGTTGTTCCCAAGTTTGCCTGTTTAGGTGCAGCTGAACAGCACTCTAAAGGCAGGAGATGATGACCTAAATGATACTTGTTCAAGATACTGGTGTGAGTCCTTTGAGATACAGAACCAATTAAGTAAAAACAACTGATATGATAAACAATTCATTGTACCGTTGCATCATAAACTAGTGCTAATGACATCATAATGGAGATGAAGTGTATTATGACATCACATTGCACAAATTCTGCAATGTAGTGACAAAACAATAAAAAAAGTCATTTCTGAAAGACATGGCTAAATTGCTGAATTGACATTTATGCTCCACCCACAAATACATGAATACACAAATGCATTCATAGCAACTGTTGTAAGATCAGACAAGCTTTACAGAAACCCATTAAATGTAATGAATCTCCGTTGGAGTTTAGATTTGCTACACATTATTGAATCTGCAGCTTAAAATGCTATGCAACTGAGATGGACCATGTTTTGTTAGCTGGTTGAAAATACATATTTGCCACTGTGCTAATGTTAGTTTGATTTCTCAACCAAAAAGTCTATCTCACCCAGTCTATCTTAACAATGTGATGTTTCACACAAAAAATAAACATGAAGTTACACTCTCTAAATGTCCATATTTTGAAAAAAAAAATGTATTTTTGCACTACTTTCAGTTGAATGCAGCACTTCAAATGTAGTATTATTCAGCTGATTGGGAGTTTACTAACATTTTATAAAGCTTGTCTAACCTCACAATATTTGCTACAAAAGAAAACAGGCGGAGCAACTGAGGGCCAACATTTTTTATTGCTCCCTACATTCATCAGAGGAAAAAAAGAAAGAATTTAAATTTGGTTTCCACTGTGCTCATTACTACAGGATCTTTCTCTCAGGGACATGTGTGGCAGATTTTAAAAGAGTGTTTCTGATTTCTCCAGTTCTGAATCAATAATCCGCTTATCAGCTGAGTCAGGTGAAAACACTCTCATGAAGGGCAGGGATGGTTATCTGTGAGAGACAGAGAGCAAAGTACAGAATAAACAGGCCAGAGAGTGGCAAGGGGCTTCTGCACAGAGATAACTCAATTAAGATAGAGATGTGTACTGTGGTCAACATGGCTCTGTTCAACACACATGCACATGCTCATACAAAGCCATTTGAACTGATTAAACCTCAATATTAGATTAATTCTATCTCTGTGTTTCCCATTGACTTTCTCTTGCTCATGCTCTATTCTCTCTGCCCCTCTTTATCCTCAGGAGGGAGTGCTATTTGCCTCTGCTGCAGAGGCAGCAAATTAAAATGAGTTGCAGAGACCACTGGCAGCAAAAGGAGGACAAAAGATTAGTGGCAAATATTATGTTTACACCTGGTTATTTCATGAGAATAAGGAGTATATATGGACAGGTACTATCTACTTAAAAATACAGGTGTAAATATAGCCAAAACACATTTAAAACAAATTTAAATATGATCTCTCAAACCACTGTAGGAGGTGGCCTGAGATGCATCTTAGCCAGATGTTACATTCAATAACCAAAACCTTTCACAATGCATTATGTCATAACATTTAAATATACAGTCCATCTTTCTCTAAGTTGAAGAAAAGGAACAAGAGCTAGGCTGCATTCAGTTTTCTAAAATGAAGTTTTCAAGGCAACCACTATCTTTTGGATGGAATAGAAAAAAGCAGAAAGAGAGAAACAGGTAACAGTTGAGCTGATTGAATATTACACACCATATAGACATTGGATTTCTATAATAAATACATTCATGTATACTCTCTAAATCAGGCACCTGCTTCCTGTCGTAAACCTCTCATCTAAAGAGGCTCAGAACACTCTGTGGGTCGTAATGGTCATAAGGTCAATTGTTGGGTAGACGTCTGGATAATTGATGAATATTTAATTAAAAATTAGCAGATCAAAAGAGCAAACAGTGTGCATGTTGAGGTCAGCTTCTGCAGGATGGCATAGTGGTGTGATTGAGCAGAGAGTAAAGATCAGCAAGGCAGAGTGAGAGAAAGAACGAAGTACGAAGAAACCAAAATGATATTAGTTTAAGATGGACAGAGATAAAACATGACAAGACCATTATTTATAAAATGTTGAATGAGAAGAGGGTGTAGAAAGAAAAAAAAGCAAGAGCAAGAAGGAAGGGGAGGGAAAAGCAGTGCAATTACTTGGGTGATGAAAGAGCAATTTGTTCTAATTAAGTCTGGGCTGATGATTGAGAGAGCAAAGAGTATGTCTATGAAAGAAGCTAAACCTCTTTAGCTATGAATCTCTCTGTCTGCAGTTCGTTCTCTCTCTCTCTCTCTCTCTCTTTCTCTCTCTCTCTCTCTCTCTCTCTCTCTCTCTCCTTTTTATCCTCAGCGTGCTCATTGATTACCTGTCTAGTCTGAGGAGTTACAGCATAGTTCCTCTAGAGAGAGAGAAAAAAAATGTGGAATGGAATGAGGTAGGCTAGGGTGAGTGACCTATCAGTCAAATAACACCATCATCCGATGTGTTGCCTCCAGAGAGTGGATGAGTCAGCATGTTTGGTGTAATTATCAATGGACAGTGTGGGTTTGCAGTCAGTCATTGAGGTAGAAAATGATATTAATGGTAAGATGAGGTGGATGTATTGTGAGCTGTGGAAGACTGTGAGATATCGTAAATGCATTGAAGTGCTAATCAAAGATCTTCAAATCTGGTACTTGAATTCAGTTTCTCATCTTGTAATCTGTAATAACTGCTGGTTAACCAAACCACTGATGCAACTGTGGCCACCTAATGTCATACCTACAAAGCCCAGTAACATTTCTGTGTGGAGAGTGTCAGTTTTATTTGTAGTGTAACATAGTGAAAAGCAGTGCAGCTGCCAATGCCTGTCTCTTTTTTTCTGTGTGTGTGTCTCTACCCCTGTTGAAACAGATGGGGAAAGCAGCCCACGCCCAGATTAACAGAATCATATTAATGAAATCAGGATGCAGTACGCTGCCCCCCTTTCATAGCTTTCTCTCTCAAATGTGAAGAAGCCTGAGCTGTCTCTCTGTTTCTCACCCCCACCGTCTGCTCTCCTGCTCTAATTTGTATATAGTCAGTCATATGAAAACCTCATAACTCAATTTCTTTTTAGTTTTATCATTATTTTGCAGTATTTGAAAATGCCATCTGCCTTTTTTACATTATGTGAACAATGCTTACTGAATGGAACAAATGGTCCAAAATTGCTAGGAACAAGAAATGTTTATATTAGTATTATTTTGAGTCAGTTCCGGCTTTTGCATCTCTTGTAAAATCACCATTTTAAAGCTACAAGATTCTCTTATGATAGCAATGAAATGTAACGACAATGAAGACCATATCTATCGCTATTTTGTTTTTTTGTTTCACTATTTTCTTAAATCTTGGTCTGTAAAGGGTCACAGTTATTTCAGAGAATGATAAGAAACATGGGGTAGTCAAAATGAGTGGAGAGGAGCGATGCAAGGAAGACGCAAGAGGGGCCAGACGGACAGAGGAATGGAGAGAGTGGCAGTGAGAGAGATGAGAGTGACAGAGGGAGACAATGAAAGTAAAGGGGAGAAGAGGAGAGGTAAAGAAAAGAAAGGAGAGGAGGGGGTCTGCGACTGCTGCTGCTGTTGCTAGGGGAGAATAGTGAGAGAGATGTAGAGAGAGAGAGAGAGAGAGAGAGAGAGAGAGCAAGGGCTTGCAGCATTATTCTCCATCAGTGTCTCTGCCACAGCCACTGGAAGAGGCAGTTTCCACGGCAACCATTCATACCACTGAACAGAGCGCAGGCAAGGGGAGGGGGCTGTGTTGCTGTAAAAACCTAAAAACAGGCGTGGCAGGTGGAAGCTAAAACACAGGATAGATCTATAGAGAAAAGGAAAGAAGGATTAAAGTGAATTAAAAAACAAACAAAAAAAATAAAGAAAGAAAAATAGGTGAATAAAATTGTGTAAGCTTAAAAAAAATATAATAAAAAATGACAGACTGAGGGGATGGGGGAAGAAGGGCAAAAAAGAAAATGGCATTAAGAGATAAAGAGTGAAAGAAAGATTGAGAGAGTGACCTACATAGCGTTGTGCTGCAGAGATGGTGGTGGGTTAGAACAGGTATTTCTGCATCAGTGGATGAGAGCAAAAACAAATCACACCTGCTCAGACAGGAAAGGAGAGATGGAGATACAGAGGGAAGGAAGGAGGAAGAAGAGAGAGAGAGAGAGAGAGATGGAGGAGGAGGAGGAGGAGGAGGGATGGATGGGCATGACCTTTTCTATTCTGGCTACTAAAAGTTCATCACTGCAGGTGTGCCAACCTGTGCAGATCTCCGGGTCCAGGCTCACTTCATGATGCCATTTGCCACACGCAAACATGCATATAAAAAATGCACCCCAAAAAACATGAAACACAGCACACTCACAGATTCTATTTACCCTTTAAACCATACTCCACATGCAATTGACTGCATACTCAACATCAAATACAGTTATCTTTGTTTAAAACCTTTTTCAATACGTTCACTAATAATAAGCAGCGTAATCACATTCATAAATCGTAACAACAAACTGAAATATGCTAAACTTAGACAAAATAGAGAGGTTTTTTTAATGTAAGTTTCAGGAACATCACACACATGCACAAAATACCTGAGAGGAACCTCAGTGGCTTTTAGACCTTCAGAGAGGGCCTGAGGATTTATAGGAATTAA